GGGGGCTGTGGGGTTGGGGGCTGATAAGGGTGGGGGCTGATGAGGGGGAGCCCATTGAGCAGGAGCTCATTGAGCAGGAGCTGATGAAAAACAAACTTATTTTTGTATCCCTAACAGTCCTAAATCCTTTAAGTTTAACACGATTTTACACACACCCTTGGGTGTTTGGGTTAATTAAACAATTTAAAGTCCTTAACAGCAATGTATGGCTCTTACATGAATCCCACTTTGATGTCAAGTCCACGCAGTCCGAGTCTGACCTTTCTGGCCCTCTCCATTATGTGCACGCATATGTACCGTATGTTCTCCAAGGAGGTAATACCAACATCTATATTACATGTATGGTTATATCTTGGACTTTGCCAAATATTTACCAACTCCCCCCCCCCTTCAAGTAGTCTGCTCTTTTTGCACTGCCACCAAAACATCGATCTACATGTACATGTACACTGTAAACGCACATGTACATACTGTCCATGTCGGGCACAATTATATTCGGTCAGCACGATCACAAGATCGCACTGTACTTGTCACTGCCAGTTGATCCTGTACAAAATCTCAGACTTTAATTCCCTTTTTTCAAAACAATTTTACAGTGCCGCAAATTAGAAAGACGGCGTCACTGGCTGATGGCAGAATAAATCGGGCAGTAAGATCATGGTAAGATTGACAGAGTGCAAAAACATGGCAAAGATCAATTCAAAATACAGTAACGCAGCTGTTGGGTAGATGCATCACCTCGTAATACAAGAGTTGAACTACATGTACATGTAGGGCCCTCATGTAACGTTAGCCCTAGCAGAAAGCCAGCATTTGTGTTACAGAAATCAACGGAAGGAGTTCCACACATGTCATATGCAGATGCCACTTGACACCCTGTGCCTAAACCCTTTGAAACTAGTCTTAAAAGTTCTAATTGTTTTCTAAGTACATAAATCATAATGTAAATGACTTGGTATTTTCCCTCCTAAACCAACATTTCTGGACATGTTTTTATGTTCTGATTGATAACAAGTCATAATTACCGCCGTCCGTATATGGAACTCTTTTCACATGGTTAGTTGTTCCATGGAGGAAGGAACCTTCCTCCATGGTTGTTCTTGAGCAGTTGAGGCTAGTCTCTTCCTACCTCCAGGGTCCAAGTAACTTTTACAAGGTTGGGCGCCCAACCACATCCCAATGTTTGGTCAACTTAAAAAAAGGTGATTCTTAATCGTAGAGTCCTGTTACTCGGTACTAGGGGTGAGCAGGTACTGCCAGCAAGATGCAATACACTCCATGTATACATTCATTAGAAAATTATTTGTACATGGGCCGCCAACAGTACATGTACTTACATGTACGAAGTTGTGCCAGCTGGTCACAAGCAAACGTGTTTGACGTTCCGGCAACTGAGACTAGGGCCAGCGTGAACCTGACGAAGGTACAGGCCTGGCGCTTAACAGAATCGCCGCGAGTTAATTGGGTACTCAGGAACGAAGAGCTGACGTGGACAACGCCGTTCAGTCAGCGAGTAGCTTCCACTGATTTCACCAACGAGCTAAATTGAAATGCCGGTGGCATTCCACCCACTATTCAACTATCTGCATCCGTCTCCGAGTTCAACTTTTATGGTCTCGGGTCCTTGCTCTATCTACGGTCTTACTTATGCAAATGCTTCAAGCGCCGGCGGCGGCCGGCGCGACATAACACTTATAACAGTTGATAACAGGCATACACGTGTGAACAACGAAATTGGTTTGCCATTATGTCTGTGGTTAAATTGGCCGGCGTGTGAGCTATACATACCAACCTCGTTCCCATGGGTACGATCTTACCGCGCCATGCTGGTTCCCACCATGCTTTATGTGATCATATGATGGCCCTGGAGGGACATCGCCAATCGTCAATACTGACGCCAATATTTGCGACCAAATTCACCGACTCGTTGTATCTCCAGTCGCAAACATTGCCGCGATTTTTTTTTCCAGCGAGCCAGGTATAGAGAGAAGTTGCTCAGCTGTACACACAGCAACTGCTTTTTATTATTATCATTATTATTTATTCGGCCATTCAGAACAGATACTGGCAGGATGATTCAACAAACATAAAAATCAATGGATTAAGCAAAGGGAAATTACAAATAACAAGAACAACCCACACCAAGTGGGCCTGGATGGACAAAAGTATACTTAAACACTATGACCCGAAAGCCTGTCAATCCAAACTTGAAGTGGAACACTAAAAACCCAATTAAATTTAAAACAATATAAAAGGATATAGATAAACTATACAATTGCAATGAATGAATCAGAGTAGGCATAAGATAGTAAACCCCAAAAGAAAGTCGTAATAAACGAATTGAAACCTGAAATGAATGTGCTGGAACAAGACATTAATACATACAAAATTTCCCCCCTCCCGCCCACACCACATCCGAATTAAAAAAAAAAAATGTACTACACGAGAATGAAGCAGCAAATTACATTTAAGAAAGTGTCAAAAATTCAGGCATTTATAATAATAAGGCTGTACCAATGGAGCAAGAACTACACCAGGTGGAAATAGAGAATACTGGTACGTCACATTTTACCATTCTTCAAAATGAACCAACAAATGGGTTTTGAATTGTCCAACAGAATCTATTTAATACAGAGTCCTTCACCGTGGGATGCGTTGGTAGATTGCTCCAGATGCGGGGGAAGGTGTGGCTTGGTGTAATTTTAAGAGTTTCCGTTCTGGCATAGTGGTGAATAAAAGTGAGGCAGTCCTGGTGTCGAGAGGACACTACTGTGTTGGTCTTTACCGAATGACAGTCGATTAAATTAAATAGGCATTTGATTGTGAAGACAACGATATAACGTTGTCCCCCTGCGTCGAGCCAAAACTGCCCAGCCGATTAATGACTAGACTCGAGATCAAGCCGAAAAATGTAGGTTATTACGCGCGCGCGTCTGTCAACACTTCATTTGTGGCCTCGGTTGCTGGAAAAAAATTCGCGGCATTATTTCGCGACAAACATCTACCCAAAA